ACCCTCCCCCCAGCGGCAGCTGCAGCAGTGGGAAAGAAAGGAGGAGGAGGGGAAGGGAAGCACACCACCCATCACCCCAATACCCGCCACCCCCATACCCTCCCCCCCACAGCTGCAGGGAAACGAAGGAGGAGGGGGTGGGCAGGGAGAAAGCCACAGAGCGGCTCCAGATGGTCGGCGCGGGTAGGTCAGGGGCGGCTGCAGGGAGTGCAGGTGCGGGGTGAGGCAGAGGCGGCTGCACCAAGTGCAGGAGCGGGGGCGGCTGCTCCAAGGGCAGGCGCTGGGTGGTGCAGGGGCGGCTGCAGCGAGTGCAGGCGCGAGTGAGGCAGGGGCACCGCCGAGTGCGCCAGGGGCGGGTACGCGGCGGCTCAGGACACCGTCGCAGGCGCCAGGGGCGGTTCCGCAGCGGCTCAGGGCACCGTCGCGCACCACGGGGCACGTGACGGGCAGTTTAGGTAGTTTAGGGCACCGTCGCATGCCACGGGGCGCACGACGGTCAGGGCACCGTCGCGTGCCACGGGGCGCACGACGGGCAAGTTTAGGGCACCGTCGCATGCCACGGGGCGCACGACGGGCAGGGCACCGTCGCGTGCCACGGGGCGCACGACGAGCAAGTTTAGGGCACCGTCGCGTGCCACGGGGCGCGCGACGGGCAGATAAGGTGTCACTCGCCACCCGGGGGCGGGACAAGATGAAAATCGCCATGCGCCCTAGGCGCGCGACCGGAAAAACAGCAGCGGAAGCATAAGGCGGGCCCACAGGCCAGGACGAAACATGCTCTGATACCATGTTGTGATACTAGCTTAATAGGTAGTTGAGAGTTTAGGACGGCCTAGGCTTAGTAGCCTAGGCCAAGGAGAAGTCGAGGGAGTTGTGCCAAGGTTATCAAGAAAGTTGGGAAAAATGTGTGTTCACTATAGGTTTGCAAGAACATATAGCATGTGAACAAAGAAGGTGCACCACCTAACAAAGTTTGTAATAACTACACTAACTACAGCTACAGGCAGTTACATATATAAATTCTGACACTGCAATCATGCACGACCGATATTTTGGTCGTGCAGTACTGTGCACTGACGCGCGTAGTGCTGCGCGTGGGCAGGGCGATCATTCGCTCTGTTCTGTTGCGATCGTGCCCACAGTGCACGATCGCAACAGTGCGAGGCACACGCGCGGGTCTGAGGGCCCACACGCACAATCAGGACCTCACGCGCGGGTCCTGATATTTCCGAGCAGTTGACATCGACTGATGCGAGAAATTTCCAAGGGTCAACATTCACCCCTCGCGAACACCCACGATACTTCATGAACACACACGAAAACAGAAAAACGAAAACTAACATGAACACTCACAAACTTTCATGAACAGCGCACAGACTTCACGGAATTTCACGAACACAGTCACGAACACAGAAATTCACGAACACAGAATTAACACACGCTTATGAAAACTCGCGAAGCAACGCAAACGCACACGAAGTCTCGCATTCACACACGGACCTTCACGAACACTCAGGAACGCAACCTTTCACGGGAACTCACATAACTCATGAACCGTTGAGCCGATTCACGAGCCGTAAATACAGAATCACAGCTCACGAAAAAACGCAACTCGCACACAACAAATTTTCTTCATAACAAACACCTCACTTTCACTCAACGTCGACAAATAGGCGGTAGGTTGTTGTGCAGACCATGTATTGCACTCAACAACTGGGAATGCCTATATTTGGCGACTACATAGATACAAAAGGTTAGAGCCTGGTGGGGGGGTGGGGAGTGGTATAATTGAAAGGACTGGAGAAAAATATATGGTTATTCACTGTATTTATACGGAGAAAATGATGCGTTGGTCGGTTGGGCCACTATGCACGCTTGTGTGCCGGTACAAGGCGGAGCTGGAGCTCCAGAATCTCTCAAATTATGTGGATCTAAAAGGTTAGTGTCAGAATGTTATTATCTAGCCTGTAGTGGGGTGCTCTATAGCGAGTACAATCCAGTTAGGGTTTGCTATATGTATCCCAACTGCTGCTAGTGAAACACCTCCTTTCTTCATTTCTCTCTTGCCTAGCTAGGGCTTACCTAGCTATGGCTCCTTACTATGCTTACTTTCTCACATGCTATCAGAGCATCTACGCTCCTAGCTTGTGGGCCCACCTAACTGCTTCCGCTGCTACTCTATCTGTTGCACGCCCCGTGGCGTGCGACTCCTTCTTCCTGCTGTGTTTTTTTCGGGTTTTCTTTCCGCCGTGCGCTCGGGGTGCGCGGCGGTTTTCTGCCCGCCGTGCGCCCCGAGGCGTGCAGCGGTTTCCTACCTTGAGGACCCGCGCGCGGACCCTGCCCTGCTCGTCGCGGCGCCCTGGGGAGCACGCGCGGCCCCTGCTCTTCACGTCGCAGCGTCCTGGGGAGCCGCGCGCGGCCCCCACCCTGCTCGTCGCGGCGCCATAGGGAGCACGCGCGCCCCCTGCTCTTCACGTCGCGGCGCCCTGGGGAGCCGCGCGCGGCCCCTCGCTGCCCCGTGGTGGCGCCGTGGAGGCCGCGCGTCACCCCTGAAGCCGCACGCGGCCCCTCGCTGCCCCGCCGTGGCGCCCTGGGGGCCACGCGCCACCCCTGGCGCCGCACGCGGCCCCTCGCTACCCCGTGGTGGCGCCCTGGGGGCCGCGCGCCGTCCCCTTCGCCGTCCCCCGCGCTCCTACCCCGTGCCACCCGTTTTAGGGTTTGGGGGTGGGTAGTGTGGGGGTGACGGTTGTGGGGGTGCCGGTTGTGTGCGACGTCCCCTGCTCCTCCTCCTCCTCCGTCTCCCGCTGCTGCAGCTGCCGCTCAGGGGGGTGGGTGTGTGGGAGCCGAAGGAGTGGTGCAAGGGGGGTGACGTGGGAGTGGAGTTAGGGTTTGAGAAGGGGGTGTGTGTCGAGGGTGTAGGGCAGTTGGAGGAGGTTGAGTGAAGGTAGCTGTCGTGTTGCCTGCAGCGCCTGTAGTCCGTCGCCCTTGCTTTGGTAGCCAGTGAGCCTGTTGCACCAGTCGCTAGTGGGTCCGTTGCTCCTGCCGCTCGTCTATAGCCGCGGAGCCAGTTACTCCAGTAGTCCGTCGCCCTTGCTTCGGTAGCCACTGAGTCAGCCGCTCCTGTGCCCGTGCCTGTGCAGCTTCAGTCGTTGCCTCCCATCTTCTCTCCTTCCACAGTTCCTCCTCCTCCTCACTTGCCCTCTTTGATAGCCTCTAGCTTTGCTTGCAATTGTGCACTTGCTCTATGACTGTGTGCTCTGCTCATTACACCCCACTTTGGCTATGGGGGTGTGTCAAAATGTTATTATAAAGCCTGTAGTGGGGTGCTCTATAGCGAGTACAACCCAGTTAAGGTTTGCTATATGTATCCCAACTGCTGCTAGTGAAATCCCTCCTTTCTTCATTTCTCTCTTGCCTAGCTTGGGCTTACCTAGCTATGGCTCCTTACTATGCTTACTTTCTCACAGTTAGAACCTAGTGTTGTTAAAGTAGATGGCCTTATCTAGTGGACTGGCAAGAAAATGATACCAACTGCATCTCAACAAACATAAGTAATGCGCTGGTCAGTTTGGTCGGTATGCGCGCCTGTAGTGCAGGTACCTTGCACGACTGGGAATGCCTATATTTGGCGAAATACAAAATTCCAAAAGGTTAGAACCTGGTAGGGGGTTGGGAAATTGTATAATTCAAATGAAAAGCCTAAATATATGTGGTATTCAGTGTATTTATACGGCGAAAATGAAGCGTGGGACAGTCCGGTCCGTATGCACACTTGTGTGCAGTTACAAGGCAGTGTTGGAGCTCTGAAATCCCACACATTTTGTAAATCTAAAAGGTTAGAACCTAGTGTTGTTAAAGTAGATTGCCTAATCTAGTGGACTGGCAAGAAAATGGTACCAACTGCATCTCTACAAACATAAGTAATGCGCTGGTAAGTTTGGTCGGTATGCGCGTCTGTAGTGCAGGTAAAATGCATAACTAGAATGCCTATATTTGGCGAATTACATAGATACAAAAGGTTAAAACCTGGTAGGGGGGTGGGGAATGGTATAATTGAAAGAACTGGAGAAAAATATACGGTATTCACTGTATTTATACGGAGAAATCGATGCGTTGGTCGGTTGGGTCACTATGCACGCTTGTGTGCCGTTACAAGGCGGAGCTGGACCTCCGGAATCTCTCAAATTATGTAGATCTAAAAGGTTAGAACCTAGTGTTGTTAAAGTAGATCGCCTAATCTAGTGGACTGGCAAGAAAATGGTACCAACTGTACCTCTACAAGCATAAGTAATGCGCTGGTCAGTTTGGTCGGCATGCGCGCCTGTAGTGGAGGTACCATGCACGACTGGGAATGCCTAAACATGGCAAATTACAAAGATCCAAAAGGTTAGAACCTGGAAGGGGGGTGGGAAATGGTATGATTCAAAGAAAAAGCCTAAATTTATATGGTATTCACTGTATTTTTACGGTCAATATGCACGCTTGTGTGCAGGTACAAGGCGGAGGTGGAGCTCTTAAATCTTCCAAATTATGTGGATCTAAAAGGTTGAAACCTAGTGTTGTTACAGTAGATGGCCTAATCTCGTAGACTGGTAAGAAAATGGTACCAACTGCATCTCTACAAACATAAGTAATGCGTAGGTCAGTTTGGTCAGTATGCGCGCCTGTAGTACAGGTACCATGCACGACTGGAATGCCTATGTTTGGCGAATTACATAGATACAAAAGGTTAGAACCTGGTAGGGGGATGGGGAATGGTATAATTGAAAGGACTGGAGAAAAATATATGGTATTCACTTTATATATACGAAGACAATGATGAGTTGGTCGGTTGGGTCACTATGCACGCTTGTGTGCCGGTACAAGGTGGAGTTGGAGCTCTGAAATCTCTCAAATTATGTGGATCTAAACGGTTAGAACCTAGTGTTGTTAAAGCAGATGGCCCAATCTTGTTGACTGGCAAGAAAATGGTACTAACTTCATCTTTACAAACATAAGTGATGCGTTGGTCAGTTTGGTCGGTATGAGCGCCTGTAGTGCAGGTACCATGCACGACTGGGAATGCCTATATTTGGCAAATCACAAAGATCCAAAAGGGTAAAATCTAGTAGGGGGGTGGGAAATGGTATAATTGAAAGGACTGTATTTACACGGAGAAAATTATGCGTTGGTCAGTTGGGTCGGTATGCACGCTTGTGTTCAGGTACAAGGCTGAGCTGCCCGCTTTCCATCACCCCGCCCCATTCTCCCTCCTTCCATCACCCCACCCCATTCTCTCTCCTTCCATCACCGCGCCCCATTCTCCCACTTTCCATCTCCCCGACCCATTCTCCCGCTTTTTTATGAGCCCGCCCCATTCTCCCGCTTTCCATCACCCCGCCCATTCTCCCGCTTTCCATCACCCCGCCCCATTCTCCCGCTTTCCATCACCCCGCCCCATTCTCTCGCTTTCCATCACCCCGCCCCATTCTCCCGCTTTCCATCATCCCGCCCCATTCTCCCGCTTTCCATCACCCCGCCCCGTTCTCCCGCTTTCCATCACCCGCCCCATTCTCCCGCTTTCCATCATCCCACCCCATTTTCCCGCTTTCCATCACCCCGCCCCATTCTCCCGCATTCCATCACCCCGCCCCATTCTCCCGCTTTCCATCACCCTGCCCCATTCTCCCGCTTTCCATCACCCCGCCCCATTCTCCCGCTTTCCATCACCCCGCCCCATTCTCCCGCTTTCCATCACCCCGCCCCATTCTCCCGCTTTCCATCACCCCGCCCCATTCTCCCTCCTTCCATCACCCCGCCCCATTCTCCCTCCTTCCATCACCCCGCCCCATTCTCCCGCTCTCCATCACCCCGCCCAATTCTCCCACTTTCCATCACCCCGCCCCATTCTCCCACTTTCCATCACCCCGCCCCATTCTCCCGCTTTCCATCACCCCGCCTCATTCTCCCTCCTTCCATCACCCCGCCCCATTCTCCCTCCTTCCATCACCCCGCCCCATTCTCCCACTTTCCATCATCCCGCCCCATTCTCCCGCTTTCCATCACCCGCCCCATTCTCCCGCTTTCCATCATCCCGCCCATTCTCCCGCTTTCCATCACCCCGCCCCATTCTCCCGCTTTCCATCACCCCGCCCATTCTCCCGCTTTCCATCACCCCGCCCCATTCTCCCGCTTTCCATCACCCCGCCCCATTCTCCCGCTTTCCATCACCCCGCCCCATTCTCCCACTTTCCATCACCCTGCCCCATTCTCCCGCTTTCCATCACCCCGCCCCATTCTCCCTCCTTCCATCACCCCGCCCCATTCTCCCGCTTTCCATCTCCCCGCCCTATTCTCTCGCTTTCTATCATCCCGCCTCATTCTTCCTCGTTCCATCGACCCGCCCCATTCTCCCTCCTTCCATCACCCCGCCCCATTCTCTCTCCTTCCATCACCCCGCCCCATTCTCCCGCTTTCCATCACCCCGCCCCATTCTCCCGCTTTCCATCAACCCGCCCCATTCTCCCACTTTCCATCACCCCGCCCCATTCTCCCGCTTTCCATCACCCCGCCTCATTCTCCCGCATTCCATCATCCCACCCCATTCTCCCGCTTTCCATCAAACCGCCCCATTCTCCCTCCTTCCATCACCCCGCCCCATTCTCCCGCTTTCCATCACCCCGCCCATTCTCCCGCTTTCCATCACCCCACCCCATTCTCCCGCTTTCCATCACCCCGCCCTATTCTCTCGCTTTCTATCATCCCGCCTCATTCTCCCTCGTTCCATCGACCCGCCCCATTCTCCCTCCTTCCATCACCCCGCCCCATTCTCTCTCCTTCCATCACCCCGCCCCATTCTCCCGCTTTCCATCACCCCGCCCCATTCTCCCGCTTTCCATCAACCCGCCCCATTCTCCCACTTTCCATCACCCCGCCCCATTCTCCCGCTTTCCATCACCCCGCCTCATTCTCCCGCATTCCATCATCCCGCCCCATTCTCCCGCTTTCCATCAAACCGCCCCATTCTCCCTCCTTCCATCACCCCGCCCCATTCTCCCGCTTTCCATCACCCCGCCCCATTCTCCCGCTTTCCATCACCCAGCCCCATTCTCCCGCTTTCCATCACCCGACCCATTCTCCCGCTTTCCATCATCCCACCCCGTTTTCCCGCTTTCCATCACCCCGCCCCATTCTCCCGCTTTCCATCACCCCGCCCATTCTCCCGCTTTCCATCACCCCACCCCATTCTCCCGCTTTCCATCATCCCGCCCCATTCTCCCGCTTTCCATCACCCCGCCCCATTCTCCCGCTTTCCATCACCCCGCCCCATTCTCCCGCTTTCCATCACCCCGCCCCATTCTCCCTCCTTCCATCACCCCGCCCCATTCTCCCTCCTTCCATCACCCCGCCCCATTCTCCCGCTCTCCATCACCCCGCCCAATTCTCCCACTTTCCATCACCCCGCCCCATTCTCCCGCTTTCCATCACCCCGCCTCATTCTCCCTCCTTCCATCACCCCGCCCCATTCTCCCTCCTTCCATCACCCCGCCCCATTCTCCCGCTTTCCATCACCCCGCCCCATTCTCCCGCTTTCCATCACCCCGCCCCATTCTCCCGCTTTCCATCATTCCGCCCCATTCTCCCGCTTTCCATCACCCCGCCCCATTCTCCCGCTTTCCATCACCCCGCCCCATTCTCCCGCTTTAAGTCACCCAGCCCCATTCTCCCGCTTTCCATCACGCCGCCCCATTCTCCCGCTTTCCATTACCCCGCCCCATTCTCCCGCTTTCCATCACCCCGCCCCATTCTCCCGCTTTCCATTACCCCGCCCCATTCTCCCGCTTTCCATCACCCCGCCCCATTCTCCCGCTTTCCATTACCCCGCCCCATTCTCCCGCTTTCCATCACCCCGCCCCATTCTCCCTCTTTCCATCACCCCGCCTCATTCTCCCGCTTTCCATCACCCCGCCCCATTTTCCCGCTTTCCATCACCCTGCCCCATTCTCCCGCTTTCCATCACCCCGCCCCATTGTCCCTCCTTCCATCACCTCGCCCCATTGTCCCTCATTCCATCACCCTGCCCCATTCTCCCTCCTTCCATCACCCCGCCTCATTCTCCCTCCTTCCATCACCCCGCCCCATTCTCCCGCTTTCCATCACCCCACCCCATTCTCCCGCTTTCCATCACCCCGCCCCATTCTCCCGCTTTCCATCACCCCGCCCCATTGTCCCTCCTTCCATCACCCCGCCCCATTGTCCCTCATTCCATCACCTCGCCCCATTCTCCCTCCTTCCATCACCCCGCCCCATTCTCCTTCCTTCCATCATCCCGCCCCATTCTCCCGCTTTCCATCACCCCGCCCCATTCTCCCGCTTTCCATCACCCCGCCCCATTCTCCCGCTTTCCATCACCCCGCCCTATTTTCCCGCTTTCCATCACCCCACCCCATTCTCCCGCTTTCCGTCACCCCGCCCCATTCTCCCGATTTCCATCACCCCGCCCCATTCTCCGGCTTACCATCACCCCACCCTATTCTCCCTCCTTCCATCACCCCGCACCGTTCTCCCTCCTTCCATCACCCCGCCCCATTCTCCCGCTTTCCATCACCCCGCCCCATTCTCCCGCTTTCCATCACCCCACCCTATTCTCCCGCTTTTCGTCACGCCGCCCAATTCTCCTACTTTCCATCTCTCCGCCCCATTCTCCCGCTTTCCATCATCCCGCCCCATTCTCAAGCTTTCCATCACCCCGCCCCATTCTCCCACTTTCCATCACCCCTCCCCATTCTCCCGCTTTTCGTCACCCCGCCCAATTCTCCTGCTTTCCATCACCCCGCCCCATTCTCCCTCCTTCCATAACCCCACCCCATTCTCCCTCCTTCCATCACCCCGCCCCATTCTCCCTCCTTCGATCACCCCGCCCCATTCTCCCGCTTTCCATCACCCCGCCCCATTCTCCCGCTTTCCATCACCCCGCCCCATTCTCCCGCTTTCCATCACCCAGCCCTATTCTCCCGCTTTCCATCACCCCGCCCCATTCTCCCGCTTTCCATCACCCCACCCCATTCTCCCGCTTTCCATCACCCCACCCTATTCTCCCGCTTTCCATCACCCCGCCCGATTCTCCCGCTTTCCATCACCCCGCCCCATTCTCCCGCTTTCCATCACCCCGCCCCATTCTCCCGCTTTCCATCTCTCCGCCCCATTCTCCCGCTTTCCATCATCCCGCACCATTCTCAGCTTTCCATCACCCCGCCCCGTTCTCCCGCTTTCCATCACCCCGCCCCATTCTCCCGTTTTCCATCACCCCGCCCCATTCTCCCGCTTTCCATCACCCCTCCCAATTCTCCCGCTTTCTGTCACCCTGCCCAATTCTCCTGCTTTCCATCACCCCGCCCCATTCTCCCGCTTTCCATCATCCCGCCCCATTCTCAAGCTTTCCATCACTCCGCCCCATTCTCCCGCTTTCCATCAATCCGCCCCATTCTCCCGCTTTCCATCACCCCGCCCCATTCTCCCACTTTCCATCACCCCTCCCCATTCTCCCGCTTTTCGTCACCCCGCCCAATTCTCCTGCTTTCCATCACCCCGCCCCATTCTCCCTCCTTCCATAACCCCACCCCATTCTCCCTCCTTCCATCACCCCGCCCCATTCTCCCTCCTTCGATCACCCCGCTCCATTCTCCCGCTTTCCATCACCCCGCCCCATTCTCCCACTTTCCATCACCCCGCCCCATTCTCCCGCTTTCCATCACCCCGCCCCATTCTCAAGCTTTCCATCACTCCGCCCCATTCTCCCGCTTTCCATCACCCCGCCCCATTCTCCCGCTTTCCATCACCCCGCCCCATTCTTCCGCTTTCCATCAACCCGCCCCATTCTCCCTCCTTCCATCACCCCGCCCCATTCTCCCGCTTTCCATCACCCCACCCTATTCTCCCGCTTTCCATCACCCCGCCCGATTCTCCCGCTTTCCATCACCCCGCCCCATTCTCCCGCTTTCCATCATTCCGCCCCATTCTCCCGCTTTCCATCTCTCCGCCCCATTCTCCCGCTTTCCATCATCCCGCCCCATTCTCAAGCTTTCCATCACTCCGCCCCATTCTCCTGCTTTCCATCAACCCGCCCCATTCTCCCGCTTTCTATCACCCCGCCCCATTCTCCCGCTTTCCATCACCCCGCCCCATTCTCCCGCTTTCCATCACCCCGCCCCGTTCTCCCGCTTTCCATCACCCCGCCCCATTCTCCCGTTTTCCATCACCCCTCCCAATTCTCCCGCTTTCTGTCACCCTGCCCAATTCTCCTGCTTTCCATCACCCCGCCCCATTCTCCCTCCTTCCATCACCCCGCCCCATTCTTCCACTTTCCATCACCCCGCCCCATTCTCCCGCTTTCCATCACCCCGCCCCATTCTCCCGCTTTCCATCTCTCCACCCCATTCTCCCGCTTTCCATCATCCCGCCCCATTCTCAAGCTTTCCATCACTCCGCCCCATTCTCCCGCTTTCCATCAACCCGCCCCATTCTCCCGCTTTCCATCACCCCGCCCCATTCTCCCGCTTTCCATCACCCAGCCCCATTCTCCCTCCTTCCATCACCCCGCCCCATTCTCCCGCTTTCCATCACCCCACCCCATTCTCCCTCCTTCGATCACCCCGCCCCATTCTCCCGCTTTCCATCACCCTGCCCCATTCTCCCACTTTCCATCACCCCGCCCCATTCTCCCGCTTTCCATCACCCCGCCCCATTCTCAAGCTTTCCATCACTCCGCCCCATTCTCCCGCTTTCCATCACCCCGCCCCATTCTCCCGCTTTCCATCACCCAGCCCTATTCTCCCGCTTTCCATCACCCCGCCCCATTCTTCCGCTTTCCATCAACCCGCCCCATTCTCCCGCATTCCATCACCCCGCCCCATTCTCCCGCTTTCCATCACCCCGCCCGATTCTCCCGCTTTCCATCACCCCGCCCCATTCTCCCGCTTTCCATCACCCCGCCCCATTCTCCCGCTTTCCATCTCTCCGCCCCATTCTCCCGCTTTCCATCATCCCGCCCCATTCTCAAGCTTTCCATCACTCCGCCCCATTCTCCCGCTTTCCATCAACCCGCCCCATTCTCCTGCTTTCCATCACCCCGCCCCATTCTCCCGCTTTTCATCACCCCGCCCCATTCTTCCACTTTCCATCACCCCGCCCCATTCTCCCGCTTTCCATCACCCCGCCCCATTCTCCCGCTTTCCATCTCTCCGCCCCATTCTCCCGCTTTCCATCATCCCGCCCCATTCTCAAGCTTTCCATCACTCCGCCCCATTCTCCCGCTTTCCATCAACCCGCCCCATTCTCCCGCTTTCCATCACCCCGCCCCATTCTCCTGCTTTCCATCACCCCGCCCCGTTCTCCCGCTTTCCATCACCCCGCCCCATTCTCCCGTTTTCCATCACCCCGCCCCATTCTCCCGCTTTCAATCACCCCTCCCAATTCTCCCGCTTTCTGTCACCCTGCCCAATTCTCCTGCTTTCCATCACCCCGCCCCATTCTCCCTGCTTCCATCACCCCGCCCCATTCTTCCACTTTCCATCACCCCGCCCCATTCTCCCGCTTTCCCTCACCCCGCCCCATTCTCCGGCTTTCCTTCACCCCGCCCTATTTTCTCGCTTTCCATCACCCCGCCCCATCCTCTGTCCTTCCATCACCCCGCCCCATTCTCCCTCCTTCCATCTCCCCGCCCCATTCTCCCGCTTTCCATCACCCCACCCCATTCTCCCGCTTTTCATCACCCCGTCCCATTCTCCCGCTTTCCATCACCCCGCCCCATTCTCCTGCTTTCCATCACCCCGCCCCGTTCTCCCGCTTTCCATCACCCCGTCCCATTCTCCCGCTTTCCATCACCCCGCCCCATTCTCCCGCTTTCCTTCAACCCGCCCTATTTTCTCGCTTTCCATCACCACGCCCCATCCTCTTTCCTTCCATCACCCCGCCCCATTCTCCCTCCTTCCATCACCCCATCCCATTCTCCCGCTTTCCATCACCCCACCCCGTTCTCCCGCTTTCCATCACCCCGCCCCATTCTGCCGCTTTCCATCACCCCGCCCCGTTCTCCCGCTTTCAATGACCCCGCCCCTTTCTCCCTCTTTCCATCACCCCGCCCCATTCTCCCGCTTTCCATCACCCCGCCCCATTCTCCCGCTTTCCATCACCCCACCCCATTCTCCCTACTTCCATCACCCCGCTCATTCTCCCTCCTTCCATCAACCCGCCCCATTCTTCCGCTTTCCATTACCCTAGCCCGTTCTCCTGCTTTCCATCACCCCGCCCCATTCTCCCGTTTTACATCACCCCGCCTCATTCTCCCGCTTTCCATCACCCCGCCCGATTCTCCCTCCTTCCATCACCCCGCCCCATTCTCCCGCATTCCATCACCCCGCCCCATTCTCCCTCATTCCATCACCCCGCCCCGTTCTCCCGCTTTCCATCACCCCGCCCCATTCTCCCGCTTTCCATCACCCCGCCCCATTCTCCCGCTTCCCATCACCCCGCCCCATTCTCCCGCTTTCCATCACCCCGCCCCATTCTCCTGCTTTCCATCACCCCACCCCATTCTCCCTCCTTCCATCACCCCGCCCCATTCTCCCTCCTTCCATCACCCTGCCCCATTCTCCCGCTTTCCATCACCCCGCCCCATTCTCCCGCTTTCCATCACCCCGCCCCATTTCTCCCTCTTTCCATCACCCCGCCCCTTTCTCCCGCTTTCCATCACTCCGCCCCATTCTCCCTCCTTCCATCACCCCGCCCCATTCTCCCTCTTTCCATCACCCCGCCGCATTCTCCCTCCTTCCATCACCCTCCCCCATTCTCCCTCCTTCCATCACCGCGCCCCATTCTCCCACTTTCCATCTCCCCGCCCCACTCTCCCGCTTTCCATCACCCCGCCCCATTCTCCCTCCTTCCATCACCCCGCCCCATTCTCCCTCCTTCCATCACCCCGCCCCATTCTCCCGCTTTCCATCATCCCGCCCCATTCTCCCGCTTTCCATCACCCCGCCCCGTTCTCCCGCTTTCAATGACCCCGCCCCTTTCTCCCTCTTTCCATCACCCCACCCCATTCTCCCGCTTTCCATCACCCCGCCCCATTCTCCCGCTTTCCATCACCCCGCCCCACTCTCCCGCTTTCCATGACCCCGCCCCATTCTCCCGCTTTCCATCACCCCGCCCCATTCTCCTGCTTTCCAACACCCCACCCCATTCTCCCTCTTTCCATCACCCTGCCCCATTCTCCCGCATTCCATCACCCCGCCCCATTCTCCCTCCTTCCATCACCCCGCCCCATTCTCCCTCCTTCCATCACCCTGCCCCACTCTCCCTCCTTCCATCACCCCGCCCCATTCTCCCGCTTTCCATCACCCCGCCCCATTCTCCCGCTTTCCATCACCCCGCCCCGTTCTCCCGCTTTCAATGACCCCGCCCCTTTCTCCCTCTTTCCATCACCCCGCCCCATTCTCCCGCTTTCCATCACCCCGCCCCATTCTCCCTCTTTCCATCACCCCGCCCCATTCTCCCTCCTTCCATCACCCCGCCCCATTCTCCCTCCTTCCATCACCCCGCCCCACTCTCCCTCCTTCCATCACCCCGCCCCATTCTCCCGCTTTCCATCACCCAGCCCCATTCTCCCTCCTTCCATCACCCTACCCCACTCTCCCTCCTTCCATCAACCCGCCCCATTCTCCCGCTTTCCATCACCCCACCCCATTCTCCCTCCTTCCATCACCCCTCCCATTCTCCCTCCTTCCATCAACCCGCCCCATTCTCCCGCTTTCCATCACCCCGCCCCATTCTCTCGCTTTCCATCACCCCGCCCCATTCTCCCGCTTTCCATCATCCGCCCCATTCTCCCTCCTTCCATCACCCCGCCCCATTCTCCCTCCTTCCATCACCCCCCCCCCATTCTCCCTCCTTCCATCACCCCGCCCCATTCTCCCGCTTTCCATCACCCCGCCCCATTGTCCCGTTTTCCATCACCCCGCCCCATTCTCCCGCTTTCCATCACCCCGCCCCAATCTCCCGCTTTCCATCACCCCGCCCCATTCTCCCTCCTTCCATCACCCCGCCCCATTCTCCCTCCTTCCATCACCCCGCCCCATTCTCCCGCTTTCCATCATCCGCCCCATTCTCCCTCCTTCCATCACCCCGCCCCATTCTCCCTCCTTCCATCACCCCGCCCCATTCTCCCGCTTTCCATCACCCCGCCCCATTCTCTCGCTTTACATCACACCGCAACATTCTCCCGCTTTCCATCACCCTGCCCCATTCTCCTGCTTTCCATCACCCTGCCCTATTCTCCCGCTTTCCATCATCCCGCCCCATTCTCCCGCTATCCATCACCCCGCCCCATTCTCCCGCTTTCCATCATCCCGCCCCATTCTCCCGCTTTCCATCACCCCGCCCAATTCTCCCGCTTCCCATCACCCCGCCCCATTCTCCCGCTTTCCATCACCCCCCCCCATTCTCCCTCCTTCCATCACCCCGCCCCATTCTCCCTCCTTCCATCACCCCGTCCCATTCTCCCGCTTTCCATCACTCCGCCCCATTCTCCCGCTTTCCATCACCCCGCCCTATTCTCCCGCTTTCCATCACCCCACCCCATTCTCCCTCCTTCTATCACCCCGCCCCATTCTCCCGCTTTCCATCACCCCGCCCCATTCTCCCGCTTTCCATCACCCCGCCCCATTCTCCCGCTTTCCATCACCCCGCCCCATTTCTCCCTCTTTCCATCACCCCGCCCCTTTCTCCCGCTTTCCATCACCCCGCCCCATTCTCCCTCCTTCCATCACCCCGCTCCATTCTCCCTCTTTCCATAACCCCGCCGCATTCTCCCTCCTTCCATCACCCTCCCCCATTCTCCCTCCTTCCATCACCGCGCCCCATTCTCCCACTTTCCATCTCCCCGCCCCATTCTCCCGCTTTCCATCACCCTGCCCCATTCTCCCTCCTTCCATCACCCCGCCCCATTCTCCCCCCTTCCATCACCCCGCCCCATTTTCCCGTTTTCCATCACCCCGCCCCATTCTCCCGCTTTCCATCACCCCGCCCCATTTCTCCCTCTTTCCATCACCCCGCCCCTTTCTCCCGCTTTCCATCACCCCGCCCCATTCTCCCTCCTTCCATCACCCCGCCCCATTCTCCCGCTTTCCATCACCCCGCCGCATTCTCCCTCCTTCCATCACCCTCCCCCATTCTCCCTCCTTCCATCACCGCGCCCCATTCTTCCACTTTCCATCTCCACGCCCCATTCTCCCGCTTTCCATCACCCCGCCCCATTCTCCCTCCTTCCATCACCCCGCCCCATACTCCCGCTTTCCATCACCCCGCCCCATTCTCCATCCTTCCATCACCCCGCCCCATTCTCCCTCTTTCCATCACCCCGCCCCATTCTCCCGCTTTCCATCACCCCGCCCCATTCTCCCGCTTTCCATCACCCCGCCCCATTCTCCCTCATTCCATCACCCCGCCCCATTCTCTCACTTTCCATCACCCTGCTCCATTCTCCTGCTTTCCATCACCCCTCCCCATTATCCCGCTTTCCATCATCCTGCCCCATTCTCCCGTTTTCTATCACCCCGCTCTATTCTTTCGCTTTTCATCACCCCGCCCCATTGTCCCTCCTTCCATCACCCCGCCCCATTCTCCCGCTTTCCATCACCTCACCCCATTCTCCCGCTTTCCATCACCCCGCCCCATTCTCCCGCTTTCTGTCACCTTGCCCCATTCTCCCGCTTTCCATCACCCCGTCCCATTCTCCCGCTTTCCATCACCCCGCCCCATTCCCCCGCTTTCCATCAACCCGCCCCATTCTCTCGCTTTCCATCACCCCGCCCCATTCTCCTGCTTTCCATCACCCCGCCCCATTCTCCCGCTTTCCATCACCCCGCCCCATTCTCCCGCTTTCCATCACCCCGCCCCATTCTCCCGCTTTCCATCACTCCGCCCCATTCTCCCTCCTTCCATCACCCCGCCCCTTTCTCCCTACTTCCATCACCCTGCCCCGTTCTCCACCTTTCCATCACCCCGCCCCATTCTCCCGCTTTCCATCACCCCGCCCCATTCTCCCGCTTTCCATCATCCTGCCCCATTCTCCCGCTTTTTATCACCCCGCCCCATTCTCCCACTTTCCATCATCCCGCCCCATTCTCCCGCTTTCCATCACCCCGCCCCATTCTCCCGCTTTCCATCATCCCGCCCCATTCTCCCGCTTTCCATCACCCCGCCCCATTCTCCCGCTTTCCATCATCCCGTCCCATTCTCCAACTTTCCATCACCCGCCCCATTCTCCCTCCTTCCATCAACCCGCCCCATTCTCCCGCTTTCCATCATCCCGCCCTATTCTCTCGCTTTCCATCACCCTGCCCCATTCTCCCGCTTTCCATCACCCCGCCCCATTCTCCGTCTTTCCATCATCCCGCCCCATTCTCCCGTTTTCTATCACCCCGCTCTATTCTTTCGCTTTTCATCACCCCGCTGTCAACGGGAGGTTTGTGTTGGCCCTGTCCTCGCTTGGGCGGAGCCGACATCGTGGTCGGGCGTTCGGGGAACAGCCGACCTGCAGCAGTGGGCGAGCTGGTTGACGAGGAGGTCGACCTGCACGGGGACCACTGCACGGGCGCCGACTTCAGGGTGGCGCCAACTTCCGGGAGGTCGACTTAGGAGTCGACCTGCGGAGGACGTCAACTTGGTGACGTCAACTTGGGGAAGCCGACTTCGGTGGTCGGCTGATGGACTGCTGATGGACTGCTGGTCGAACTGCGGGTGGTCGACTGGACCTGGTGGTCGATGAAGGAGGGGCCGACGTCGACCTTGACTCAGAACGCCGAGCAGTTGGGCGTCGAGTAGCGGGGCGTCAACTTCGTGACGCTGACTTCGGGTGGCCGACGTGGGTGGTCGGCCGACAACAGCGCTGGCCGACTTAGTGCTGGTCGACGTGGAGCTGGTCGACCAGAAGGGACATCGACCTTGAGGAGGTCGACCGAGTGGCGTGGTCGTCCTGGTGATGTCGACATGGAGGTGGTCGTCGACTTGGGAGGTCGACGGGCACGTACGGGAGCTGCTGGTCGATGTGGTTGCCCGATCGACCAGGTTACCTGGGTGACGAAGTGCTGCGAAGGAGTGCGATGGTCGCCCAGGCGAAGTTGGCGAGACCGACCTCGGTGGTGGTATCCCGAGGTCGTCGTGGCGGATCAGAGGCAGTCGTCAGCTCGAGGTTGACGTGGTGTGTGCGCTGTGCAGGTGACGAGACTCTGCACGCCAATCATCTGCGCGCACCTGCGAAGCGGGTGCACTGCTGTCCTGCGTGAGCAATGCTGGTACGCCATCAACCTGCAACGTTGGCACGCCGTCAACCTTGCCTTCTGGAGTGCGGTCGACCAAGTCGTGCTGGAACGTGGTCGACCAAGCTGCGCTGGCAGTTGGCCGACCTGAATGCTAGCTCTGATGTAGTCTTGCATTGCCAACTTCATTGTATGATTGTTGTCATGTTTTCCTAGTGAAACTCTTGCCAATTCTCCCCGTGAACTAGCAAGAAGCGTAAACACAAGGAAATGACAAAGTGAACGAACGCAGAGATCACACGAGCACACGTGCCTAGCCCGTAGTCTAGCTCCCGTTGCAGCAGTTATCTCCGCACCCGCCCCATTCTCCCTCCTTCCATCACCCCGCCCCATTCTCCCTCCTTCCATCACCCCGCCCCATTCTCCCGCTTTCCATCACCCCGCCCCATTCTCCCTCCTTCCATCACCCCGCCCCATTCTCCCGCTTTCCATCACCCCGCCCCATTCTCTCGCTTTACATCACCCCGCACCATTCTCCCGCTTTCCATCACCCCGCCCCAATCTCCCGCTTTCCATCACCCCGCCCCATTCTCCCGCTTTCCATCACCCCGCCCCATTCTCCCGCTTTCCATCACTCCGCCCCATTCTCCCTCCTTCCATCACCCCGCCCCATTCTCCCTCCTTCCATCACCCCGCCCCATTCTCCCGCTTTCCATCACCCCGCCCCATTCTCCCGCTTTCCATCATCCTGCCCCATTCTCCCGCTTTCCATCACCCCGCCCCATTCTCCCGCTTTCCATCATCCCGCCCCATTCTCCCGCTTTCCATCACCCCCCCCCATTCTCCCGCTTTCCATCATCCCGCCCCATTCTCCCGCTTTCCATCACCCCGCCCCATTCTCCCTCCTTCCATCACCCCGCCCCATTCTCCCCCCTTCCATCACCCCGCCCCATTCTCCCGCTTTCCATCACTCCGCCCCATTCTCCCACTTTCCATCACCCCGCCCCATTCTCCCGCTTTCCATCACCCCGCCCCATTCTCCCTCCTTCCATCACCCCGCCCCATTCTCCCGCTTTCCATCACCCCGCCCCATTCTCCCTCCTTCCATCACCCCGCCCTATTCTCCCGCTTTCCATCACCCCGCCCCATTCTCCCTCCTCCCATCACCCCACCCCATTCTCCCTCCTTCCATCACCCCGCCCCATTCTCCCGCTTTCCATCACCCCGCCCCATTCTCCCGCTTTCCATCACCCCGCCCCATTCTCCCGCTTTCCATCACCCCGCCCCATTCTCCCGCTTTCCATCAACCCGCCCCATTCTCCCTCCTTCCATCACCCCGCCCCATTCTCCCGCTTTCCGTCACCCCGCCCCATTCTCCCTCCTTCCATCACCCCGCCCCATTCTCCCTCCTTCCATCACCGCGCCCCATTCTCCCACTTTCCATGTCCCGCCCCATTCTCCCGCTTTCCATCAACCCGCCCCATTCTCCCTCCTTCCATCACCCCGCCCCATTTCTCCTGCTTTCCATCACCTCGCCCCATTCTCCCGCTTTCTGTCACCCCGCCCCATTCTCCCGCTTTCCATCACCCCGCCCCATTCTCCTACTTTTCATCACCGCGCCCCATTCTCCCACTTTCCATCACCCCGCCCTATTCTCTTGCTTTCCATCACCCCGCCCCATTCTCCCTCCTTCCATCACCCCGCCCCATTCTCCCTCCTTCCATCACCACGCCGATTCTCCCGCTTTCCATCACCCCGCCCTATTCTCCCGCTTTCCGTCATCCCGCCCTATTAGGAGGGGGACAGGGCGGCCCTTCGCTTTGGCAGGAGGCTATCACCTTCAAGGGGATCTAGAGGTGTAGCTATAGGGGGAGGAGGCAGGCACGGATATAGGGGGTACGGGTGTTTGACTCTGCACTGTTTGTATGTTCTGTAATACTCATGTGATTGCCTCAAAATCATGTGGGAGTGAGCGTCAGGTTATAACAAACCCTGGAGGTATGGAGGAAGTGGTGTAGGCAGTTCTCGTTAGCAGATGTGAGTAAGCTGAACGGGCTTATCACATACAAGCAATCTTCGGTGGTAGTAGTATGCGCACATAGAGGAGGGACCGAATTGTGAAAATGAACGAGAATGAATGCACTATGAAAGAGTTGGGTACAAGTACTAACCCTAATTGGGTTTACCCCATATAGGCTACCCCACTACAGCCTACACAAAAGCATAAGCTATAATGTTATGACACAACCCCATAGGCAAAGTGGGGGAGTACAAGGGGTCACAAGACCAGACAAGCAAAGTAAAGCAAAGCAAGCTAAGGGTGGATCACAAAGTCACCACACATTCCGAGCACAAGGTAAAGGCCACAAGGCCAGTTCACATGCAGGAGTACATATATATATAAAAGGCTAGACAAGCAAGAGCAGGTGTATATATATATGTAACAGTACAAGCAAGGTCAAGAGGTGAGCAAGTGAGGCAAGGTAGGCACAAGACCCAGTTGAGTACAGAAGCGCTGATGATCACAAGGCGCAAGCGCCTTGGTGAAGATATCAGCAGTGTTGGCCTCAGAGGCCACGTACGCAAGACGCAGCTGACCACGCTGCTGCAGCTCACGAGCAAGGAAGTAGCGGAGAGCAATGTGCTTCGTTCTGTGCTCTAGTCTCTGCTCTCGACACAAGGCCAGCATGGCCTTGTTGTCTACGTACAGCACTGGAGGAGAACGAGGCGGCTCTCCGAGGTCAGTCAGCAGGTAGGTGAGCCAGCGAAGCTCCTGTGCAGCCATGGCCCCGGCGTAGATCTCAGCCTCACAACTGGAGCCGACAACAGAAGACGAGCGGGTAGCCCGCCACGAAACAGAGCCGGAACCAAGGCTGAAGGTGTAACCCTGTGACGACCGCTGCGTAGCCTGGTCGTCAGCCTAAGAAGCGTCGACGTGCCCAGTGAGGACCACTAGACTCTGCCCTCCAAGCACAAGCCCCATGCCTGACGTACTGCACAAGTAGCGCAACACCCTCTTCGCTGCAGCCATGTGCTCCGGTCTGTGTCTCCCAGGAGCAACATAGCGTGCGAGAATGCTAAGAGGGTATGCAAGGTCAGGTTGAGTGCAGGTCATCAGGTACATGAGGCAGCCAACAAGCTCTGGATATGGGCCACTCGACTCTACGGACTCATCTGAAGGCAGAGCTGAGAGCGAGTGGCGAGTAGGCAGAGGAGTGGCCTGAGGCGAGGAGTACGTGAAGCCGAAGCGCTTAAGGACCTGCTGCACCATGTGTGACTGAGTCAGGGTAATGGTGCGGCGTGCTCTGTCCCGGGTGATCTGCAAGCCAAGGTAGCTGCGCAGTTCACCCAGGTCTGTGCACGTGTGTCTCTTCTGAAGCTCGGACTTCACGTGGGCGAGTCTAGCAGTGTCAGCTGTGGCAAAGACCAAGTCGTCGACGTACACGAGGATGTAGAACGGCGGCAAAGAAGTGTCGGTGCGCATTAACAGCGACGGGTCGGCAGTAGAGGGAGCAAACCCAAGACCGCAAGTGTAGTCCTCAGTGTGTCATGCCACTCACGCGGTGCCTGGCGGAGACCGTAGACTGGCCGCCGGAGGCTCCACTGGGTGCCAGGAGGAAAAGACCTAGTGAAGCCAGATGGGCGGCGCAGCCAGATCTCCTCGTGCAGGCTGCCCTGCAGGAAAGCTGTGCGGAAGTCAAGAGAGTGAAGCTCGTAGTCACGGTGAGCAGCTATGTGCAGCAGTACCCGAAGAGTGGTCATCTTCGGGGTGGGAGAGAAGGTCTGAAAGTAGTCAACTCCCTGCCGCTGACTGAAGCCACGAGCCACGTAACGCGCCTTGAAGACACGCGGAGAACCCGGCGGCCGCTTCACCCTGAAAATCCACATGCCACTGACGATGTTCGCCCCAGGCGGGGGAACCTCGTCAAAGTAGGTGCCTGTGGACTTCTAGGAAGCCATCTCTGCGTCCATAGCTGCCTGCCACTGAGAGGAGTAGGGACCCTCTATCGCCTCCGCGTAAGAGCGCGGAGTCGGGATGTCAAGTGCATCCGGGTCTCCCTCAGGGGTAAGGAGTACGGACACGAGATGAGGTGAAGCAGCAGCCAGACACTGGAACTCCTCCTGCCTGTCCTCAAGGACGTCCGTGCCAAGGGCACACTCACCCCCGATGGACGGAGGATAGACAAACTCAGACTCAGCAACAAGACTGGCGGCGTAGTCTAGGCGACAGCGAGCAGCAAAGTCGACGAGCTCAGCAACTAGGGCAGACGCAGCAGTGGACTCAAAGGAAGGGTCAGTGACAACAGTAGCAAGGAGACGCGTGACAGTAGGACTGGCAGCATGAAGAGAGTCCGACTCCGGGTCGGCAAGAGCAGGAAGAGAAGACACAGGAGCAGAAGGCAAAGGGGCACGCAGAGGAGCAATGGACGGACGCAGAGACATCCGGTGCGTGCCAGGGACAGGAGGAGGACGCTGATGCGAACCGCAACCACTAGTGCGAGCAGCACGGACAGGCGACGTAGGGCGAGATGCAGGCTCACGACGCTCAGCAAGACCTCCAGTAGGACCAGTGTAGGGAGACGGAGCAGGCAGTGGGGAGTCCGGCTGTAACTGTAACTGTGACGGGACAGGCTGTGGACACTCGAAGGGAGCAGGAGGACCAGTAGAAGACGGGAGACCAAGAACCTGCTGAAGGAGCGGAACGAAGTACGGCCGAGGCCGCGCGGCGACTCTTGACACAGCAGGGACAGCACCAGTACCCCCAGCGGCAGCACCAGCACCAGCAGCACCTCCAGCTCCAGTACCTCCAGCAGCACCAGTAGCACCCCCAGCAGGACCGCCTCAAGGACCGACAGCAGTAGCCTCTGGCGCGTCAAGGGGGAAACCCAGGAAGACGCAGGGAGCAGCACGAGGGGACAGCTTGTCCGCAGACAAGTCGCGGACAAACGCCCAAGATCCCCAGACACGGAACGCAGACGCATCGCCAACCTTCCCCGTCCACAGCAAAGCTGGGGAGGTCTCCGGCATGGAGACCCTGGGCTGAAGGTTGATCTGATGCGCCGCGTACCGAACCGCAAACGGCCACAGAAAATGGGGGGCAGCCGCATGCATCATGGACGTACGGGCGACGTCCATGACCATGCCAATGCAGCGCTCAGCAATCCCATTTTGCTGTGGAGAGTCCGGAAGCGTAAAGGTCTGGCGGATGCCTCGTGCACGACAGTAGGCTCGCAGAAGGCCAGAGGAGAACTCTCCTCCCCTGTCAGAGTGCAGGCGCAGAACAGGAAAGTCCGAGCCGAAGCTCTGCTTGAGTTGGAGACGAGCTGCGCGGATCCAGTCGATCAACACCTCAGTGACATCACCCTTGCTGCGCAAGGGGAAGACTGTAGTGTAACGCGAGTAGTCGTCAACCACCAGCAGGAAGTAGCGCTCGTGACCCTGTCCACGGACGCGGGCCGGGCCCCACACGTCCATGTGAAGCGTCTGCAGCGGGGCCTCTGTCGGAGGAAACTGAGAGGAGTGAGGGGCAGCCCGCTGCCGCCCCTCGACATAGGGAACGCAGGTAGGGCCAGGCCCCGGAGGAAGGGGAGGGAGGGACCGGGGAAGACCAGAGACAAGGACACGGGAGGCCATGCTTCGGAGACGAAGCAGGGAGGGGTGACCAAGGCGGTGGTGCCAAAGGAGAGTCTCGTGAGACAGGAGGCGACACGAGCAGGGGGCAGACTCAGGACCAGACCTGGACGCTGCAGCAAACACCTGACCCGACGCAGCTACCTGACCAGACGCAGTGACTGGAGGAGACGCAGTGGTCAGCGTGTACAGGCTCGACCCCGGCCAGCGTGTAAACGTGGCCAGGTGTCGGCCTGTCCGAGCGTCCGTGCAGTGGGTCACCCGCTGACTCGCAGGAGTGAACTGGTGAACCCCCGCATCCTGTAGGTCAGCACCACTCACCAAGTTCGTAGAGAACAAGGGGAGGTAAAGACCAGACAGGGTGCCAGAGGGGGCCGCCGGACACGGGAGGACAGTGGAGAAGTGAGCAAGGACAGGACCCCCAGAGGGGTCTGCCAGAGAGACTGCAACTGGCCGACCAAGCGGCGTGAGTGTGGTGCGGTCTCGAAAGAAGGAGCGGGAAGCCCTCGAGTCAAGAGTGAAGGTGTGAGAGGTCGGAGCCGACGCGGTACCTGAGAGAGCAGACTCACCTGCACCTGAGGAAGCAGACTCACTAGCACCTAGAGCAGCAGCCGCACCTGTACCTGGAGCAGGAGACTCACTAGCACCCAGAGCAGCAGCCTCACCAGAAGCTAGAGCAGTAGGCTCTATACCCGGGTCAGGCGGTACGCACAGGTGACCGGCACGGTCAGCACTAGTAGGCAATGCATACATGGCAGTGAGAATAGCATCATAGTCAAGAGCAAATATATCTACCCTCTGCCTAAGCAACTCCACCCAGTCGGGGAGCTCAGCCTCGTTGCCAAACTCGGTACGCCAGGCGTCGCTCAGACGGGCGAAGCAGCGGGACTGCGTGTGACTAGGTGTCCCACAAGGCTGACCAGTCCGAGCACCAGTGCGAATCACGTAAGAGCAGCGAACAGAACTGAGAGACCCTCCACTCTGAGCGTACCACTCACAAAGCTGCTGGGGTGTGAGAGACGCGCGTGGGCGTCGCTGGAGCTGCATCTGGCCGCCACCAGTAGTAGTAGCAGTAGTAGTGGTAGCAGTAGTAGCGCCGCCACCCCTACAACCCCAACCAGCGTACCACTCACGCAGCTGCTGGGGCGTGAGGGACTCACGCGG